AGTGCTGACAAAAGTAAACTTGCCCCGACGTTGAACTGGCCAATAAGTTTTGTGAGATTGACTCTTGTCATCCACTTCACTGCTTCACGTGATAGTACATTTTGCACTGCGCCCTTTACGATGAACAGTGGAGTTTTCAGCGCCTCAGGAGGGGCCCGATAGATTGATTCTGAAACAATGGATAGACCGAGAAGTTTCAAACACCATTTTCTATTTCATGCAGTTTCTCAGATCCGTTTCGAATCTGTGAACTTCACAAGACCTCCTCTTACCAATGAAATGCTCGTTTCCCAAATCTAGGCCACTATTTGTGAAGAAGATCCTGAGTAAGTTGAATTTTGAATTAATTCTGATACCAATTTAGTGCTGGCCACGTAGTCATCCCGATTCGGTTGGCCAATATGCATTCGCTCCCAGCTTCTCCACAGTTTTTCTTTACAGTAACTTTTTCCATCTTTCTGTTCTTCCATACTTGATTTTCTGCTTTTCTTTTCTTTCTCTTTTAGGTTCAGATATGTCAGCACGGTACTGCTAACAACGAGTATTCCGTACCAGATAATTAAAACTTGAGAATATACAAGAGAAGTGGTAATTCAAGGCAAGAAACCTTCATTTAACCGTTTCCAGTTCGTACAGCTCAGTCAACACCATTCATTTTGACGAAAATCAGCATTCTCGATTTTTTTTTTGTAGAAAATTAAGAATCCCGAGAGAGTTCTGGAGTTTCGAGAGTCTCAGGGAGAGTTCCAGAGAGAGTGAGAGAGAGAGAGAATGAGAGAGAGAGCTTCAGAGAAAGAGAGAGCAAACCAGATGGAGAGTTACAGGATCCTCAAGAGAAAGAGAGAGAGATTTGCGATGTGCATGGTGAATGTACATACCTTAGCTAAAAGAGCAGTTCGAGTTTTCTTAGCGGCGTGTGGCATTGTGACAGCCCAGTAAATAAATTCAAAGATGATTTTTAACACCCTACATTTTTTCTGCCCATTCCTTTGTCTGAATTTGGACTCACTAGTTGGCTCAATACCTATTCATCAAATTATGTATATATGGGACAGGTAGACGATGCGCGTTTCTTAGACGTAAATCCCATTTTAAACTCAAATATATAGAGAATACAGTATATAAATTACGTGCGGGAATACTCTGTCTCACCTGAGTGCGATGAACGTGAACGATAGCCTGAATAGAGGAGTTTGTAGACGTGTCATTGAGAAAGAACATGTCATGGAAGAGCTACGACGACGTAAGGAAGTACACAGTCCAACTTTCGCTCGACGGGGCGGAGCACAGCTTCTGCTCCACAGAGCCGCCTGCTGTGTTGCGGACAGTGCGTACTCGATCTCATACAACCTCAGAGCAGGCTCGGCTGTTCAAGAATCAGAATATGGTGAATCGTTTGGGTCCTACTCGTTCATCAAACTGAAGCCCTGAACGATCTCGTTTCGGGGCTAACTGTTCGCAAGCTCCATCACTGTGGGGTTCACTAATTTATTGAACTAGACTTTTATTCCTTTATTTGGGAGAAATCTTTTTTCTCTTTTTGCTCGCATACTCGCATAGGAATCGTAGTTAAGATCCCATTGAATGACCCCGGCTGTTGACTGTTTCTATTTGCTTTTTCTTGTGCTTTATGGCTGAGTACATTCGACAAAAAAATCCTAATATTGCAAGCTACAGTAATTGTACTTACTGTTGAATACTCCAAGGGATTCTGCATCCCATTTCATATTTTGATCGTAATTTTTTGCAGGGCATGGGTCGATCTGGATATCGTTCGAACCATTCAGAGCTTGGAAATGCGTTTCATTTCTTCATTTGTTCGAATTACGACGTCATGAGTCTGTGAAATAATTTTATTAGCTCATGAAAGTTGTTCCTTTTAGCATATCCTTATCTCAAATAGCCACATTTTCACAGCTATCGGAACTTCACAATGAAAACTAAAAAGGAGAATTCGTCTGAAAATCAAAGGAAATCCGCCCGCTGTAGGCGAATGCGTTCTACTTCGCTGGTCGAATCTGATCTTCACCTTCTTTTTATGTTCATAGGAGCGGATATTTCTAGATGCTCCCGTAATGTGTGTTCCTATAGAGAGGTCAATCCCTGCAGAAAAACGGAGACCCTAATGGCTTTCGTTCGAGCGAATTTATTGTAAACTTGTGATGCGGGTTATCCCAGCAGCGTTGGCTAGCCCTACCTGCATACTTGTGCCACTGACAACCCACTTCTGATGAGTGCTCTAAAATAGCGGATATAGAGTGCGCAACTCAACTGTTTTGCGCCATGAATCGGCAACATACCCTATGCGCCACATCTGACTGCAAGTTCAAGCTTCCATGGCGCAAGAGAGGTCCCACTACCTTCATACGTGCATAATTGGGCTGTCATTCACTCATTTTTTTGATGATAGGTTGATCTCCAACCTGTTGAGGAATAACATATTGCCAAGCATCTTTCGTTTCGAGTATTTTCAGACAGGCCATATGAGCGAAATTGACATTTCTGCCTGTTGCTCCATCGACATCCAAATAATCTGCAACTTCTTTAGCCTTGCCCACAACCACGAAACTTCAAAACTCTCGCTCACCTTTAGTCAGATACACGTTAGGCAAGCACGACGATAGTTTTGCCATGCGTTCTTTGAAAACAGCGGGTGACTTAGAGTCGACATGATAGCAGTAGTGGTTTTCAGGGGAGAAGTTGACACGAAGCTGTTCTTCAACGAATTCGTAATCCTAAATTACGGTAGGTTGAAGGAGTTCAAATTCAGAGGTGAAGATGGTTATATTGAAGGACCTGACCTCAATGCGCCAGAGACCAAAATTTGGAAAAACACAGAGAGCTCGGAACGGAGATCCCTCATCACTCCACTACTTTCCCACCGGTGTGCAAAAATAGGCAAAAATAGAAAAGGGAATTTTAGCGGTTGTAACGCCATGGCCGATTACTTGGGCATTTGAACAGAATAAGGGAAAAGATGGATGTCCTGCAGAGCCGAGGCGCCTACTGCTCGGCACAATGGTTTCATTCCCCAGTAAACTTGTCCCAGACTGTTTGGCACCGTAGAACTACATGCCTCCTTGGGACCTGCTGCATATTCTCAGTAGGTTGCTATTAGAACCGTGTCCCATTCCTAGTTACACTTTAAAAATCAACGGTATCACCTACTGTATGAACGATCCTAGCGAAGGCAATTCCGTAACCTGTTGTCGGCAATGGGAAGCGTGGCAGAACCCTCAACCGAACAGACTCGCAATCCATATCCAGTACGGTGCTCTCAATCAACGCAATTCGTGAGCGCCCTACTTCAGCCATGTAGTGATGGTCATTGAGGAATAATCTACGGCAATCTAAATGCGACGTTTCCGGTCGATGCATGAATTTTGGAGCCGTCAATGAATGCTAAAAATATCTGTTTTACAGTACTGAACATCACATCGATAACTTATATCCTAAGGAGCCTAAATGAGGCTGTAAGTTCTGTACCAGGGTTTTTCGCACTTGTTTTAATCGCCGCCGAAATTCCTGTGGTAGGTCGCTCTTCAAGACATCAGAAACCACACTAATCTGTTCATAAATATCGTTGTTCCCAAGAGCAATCTTCTTGTCAAGTGCTAGTATCTGTTTTTCAAGGCCTGAAATGTTCTTGATTATTAGATATTCGTCCATATGCTAGCTATGAGGCTCCCCTGCATGGCGCAACTTTGCAGAATACTTCATCCTTCATACTTTTGCCGTAATATCCACTAAATATAGCAACGTGCCCCTGATTTTTGCAAAAGGAATTCCACATTGGCTTTTTTCACAACAATCGCGGTATAGGAACTCCAAAGTGTTCAAAAGTAGGTGTACGGTACAATTTGACATAATATGTCCTGGAATATTTCTTGCTTTTATTGTTGGGACATCTGTTGTGTCGTGGAGCCCACGACATCATAACATCCGAGCTGTCACTACACCGCACACATACTGCTCGACGCGCACTACCGTGGGTATGTGTACGAACGTGCGTCCGAGGATGCGCGCGGCAAATTGCGCGGCGAAATTCGATGCGATTTGGACGACTGCAACGTTTATCATTTGGGCTCAAATTTGAAGTAAAGTAGGTTAGTAGGATTGTCCGACCCTACTAAAGTACTCTACTTCAAGTTTGTGCCCCAATGATAGACGCCAGGTTTGTTTGAATCATCGCGAATTTCGCCGCGCAATTTGCCACGCGCATACAGAATCGCACGAATCGCTCGTCCCCCGCACTACCGTCGCTACGATTGCGCTGCACGCTGTCTGCATCGATTGTCACGTGGCATTGGGCGTGGCGCCGAGTGTGCACTCAACACCTTGCCATTCAGGTCATGTCAACGTACGGAGCGGTTGCTTTTCCTTTTCGTGTGTCGTATTCTCGCATTGACATGTTATCGTTTAACCTCGACTCGAAGGGATCGGAAGCACTCGGAAGATCGCACTGCCGAAGAAGAAGGAATGAAAAGAGGCTCCAGGGTGCGAGCAGGAGAATGGAAAGTAAAGGGCTGTTAGCTGTCGCAGCTAAGGTCACCAGCAGCCCGGGAGAGATGAGAGCACCATGGAGCCTCGGGTCTAGCGAAGGAACTCGGGGTAGCGGAGACGAGTGGTCTGGGCGTGGCATACGTCCGCGGGCACGGCGTTGGTCCACTTCCCCGAGGGCAGAGAGTGCCGACGACCATTATTGAGGTAGGAGCCTGGCCCGTAAGTCCAATTCCAAACTTCCTGTTATATGAAGATAAATTAATAGCTTTTATGTTTCTTTTCTCCCAATAGCCGTGATAACAGTCAAGCGTTTTTATGTCGCATTTTTCACCATCCTTTGTAGTAACATTAGTTAATAGCTTATTCGTAGAGGTTTACATACGCATACATATTATATATATATATATATATATATATATATATATATATATATATATATATATATNGCGACATGTTGCTTACAATGCCGACGATGGTCCCGGACCTGCTTCTCGATTTGGCAGAAAAATATACTAGTCGAAGATTAAGAGCTGTTTCTTCACTTCTCGGACATTCAGGAAAACGTGAAAAATGTTAATTACTCAAATGGGAACTATGACTGTGGAGTGACGGATTTGCAGGTAGGGATGCCGGTTGCAGGTGCACGGCAAAGTTCTTGAAGAGGTTTTCGTCTATTCTTTGCTTCTTCCCGACCATAGCTCAAGGGATCTTTCATGATAGTTTATTGATGCCATTTGCACTTCAGTTTCCAACGAATATGATATTGAATTTTTTGCTCTTTTCGATGTTTATTAAATATTTCAATTGAATGGATATATCGTGTCTGATTTAGAAAGCTAACCATTTTTGCAAGTTTGGACTTTGATTGTGCTTTTCGCGATGTAACTGTTGCATCGTTCCTTTGCCATGTTTGGCTGGGCTGATAAGCTATTTACTGATAGGAAATATTTTGAGTGGCATCTCTTTCCCATCCGGAAGCATTTCGGATAACTGCTCACAAAAAGAAGATTCAAAGGGTTGAATGAAAGATATAGTTGATTTCAAGGTTTCAGAAAAAAACGCTATGCTTAAGCATGATAAACAAATCATGCTGGACCGCAAGGAAATGTTGGAATAGTAACATTCGGGAATCCACCTTCTTTCCAGGTATAGAAGGTATATGTCAGGATTTACATGCATCTCTACTCAAACATTCTTAGGGGGAAGTTTCATGAACAGTTTGCAAGAACCACGTACTTGTTACTCGTTGTCGATGAGCCTTTTCTGATAAAGCATGAGCATTTAGCCATGCTGTCACGTAATGTAAGCACGATATGATAAGAAAAATGAGTAGAACGAGGAATGCTTTCCGCTTAGCATGTCGGTCAGAGAGAAGGTGGTACTTCGTAAGCAGAGGTTTGAGCGAATACGTAGTACTAGAGGACATCCGATCGGTCTGAAAACTTCGAAATGTAAAAATTGAACTGATTATAAGCGAAAATTCAGGATTAAGCACATAAGGAAAAGAAGCGAATCGCTTATGTTGCTGCAGCAGTTGTTAAGCGGTTTTTGCGCGTTTTAGCGGTTCATACGAAAGGTTTTTTAATAGCAACGTAGCTGAAATTATGCTTTCTAACTTGCTCGCAAGCTAATCCATGAAAAACCAATATTGCATATGTTGGAGGAAGGCTCGAATTGATAGAGAGACCCTGATAAGCCCATTGCAGGTCGATTCAATCAAATCATCAAAGGTAATTTCATGATTTGACTCATTCTCTTTATTTTTTCTGTGTCCCATCCGGACCAGTTGCTTTCCCAATCCTGAACTTTCCTATTGCTCTACGCACCTGCACCCTATTCTCTGTCCAGAGATCGATGGGGTTAGCTTTTTCCTCTAATTGGGGGCTGTTCTTAAGAGAAAATTCTCCGTTTAGAAGCCTGTCAAATTATTCCTTCCATCTACGCCTACCTCACCATGCTTCCCAGGATTGCACCCTCGCTGTTCCTAACGGACTTTACTACCCCGACGTCATGAGTAGCCCGGTGACGTGCTTTTGCCTGTCAACCTCCCTCCTTCTCGTCCCTCGAGTTTATCATACAAGGTGCCCATTTCCTCTATACCTTGCCTTCTTTGACTTTGCTACAGCAGCCTTGGTGAATTTTTTGGAGCTTCTGTAGGCAGATAGGTTTTCTGGGGCTCTTGTTCTTTGCCAGCACATGGAGGCCGTCTTCTTCTGCTTGTCAACTTGCTGCACTTCGTCGTTCCAAAACCATGCCTACTTGTCCCCTCGTGATCCACCTCGAGTTCCCCCAGCGCTTCCTTTGCACATCGTAGGATGACTTTATGGCGTTGCTCCAGGTCTGCTGGATTGGCACTTGTGGATTGGTGGTCCAGCTTCCAGTATCCTCTATTTCCTGGTCCTGCTGCCTGCCACGAATATTCCCATCCTGCCCCCGATCTCCTTCCAAATTTAAACTCTCTATGTCTAGGGGAACAGGAATATGAATTTCCTGTCAAACACACACACACCGACACCGACACGCCAACAGATACCCTTAGCGGATTATATAAGGTAGGATGGTGTATCGGTAGAGAAAGGGAGCTCTATCGATAAAGACATTTAATAGTGGTAAAGCTCGAATACGTTTGAAAGTTCCATCAAAGGTTCGGTTGCCTACCAAATGAGCCTTTAATGGGTCATTCTTTTCAAGGAACAGCAACAGATAAGATCTTCTAATCAAAGGCATAAGTTCGGTTCGTTTTGAATACATCTTGCATGCCCTATTAGTCCTCCGTGTTCCGAAGAATGTCATTCGTTCTGAAGGAGGGGTC